AGAGAGAGAGAGACAGAGAGAGAGAGAGAGAGAGAAGAAAGAAAAAAGAAAGAAAGAAAAGAAAAGAAATATTGGCCTTTGAGAACGACCACTATAGACAAAAGATACTTGGGGTGACCAGTCAGAACCACCAAAAATCTGTCTTGTCTCAGTGGGAAAGTATTAATAAGAGATTTTGGGTTTTAGAATAGAGAGTATCCCAATCCCCATTTTGTGAAAGGATCTCACTAAACTGCCCAGGTTGGACTTGAGCTTGCTATCTTCCTGCCTCAACCTCCCAGTGTGCTACAATTAATAGGCGTTCAAGTATTTTATGGCCAGCCTGGGCACCATGGCAAGACCCCATATCAAAAGTAGAAAAAAAAAAGTCCTAATTAAATGATACTTTTAAAGCTTTAAGAGAAAAATTTGCAACAATCAAGGTTAAAACGTAAATTTCACCTGCCTGGCAAACACAAGGTCCTGAATTTGATTCCTGGTATGATGGATGGATGGATGGATGGATGGACAGATGGACAAAGGTTCTACACTAGTAAGTAAAAGTAACCAAAACCACTGACTTCTTTACACTATGTTTTATATTTTTCATAAAGCACTGTGGTTAAACACACTGCCATTAATACTCCTCAAAATACTTCTCACTTTTCTTCAAATACAGTTATCTCATCGTTCTTGACACTTTCTAAGTGGTTTTGGAAGTACTCATTTTAGAACTGTCTTTAGTTGCACAGTTATGACTGGTTTAATGTCCTGGATTCCAAATGACTTTTCACAGTCACTCTGACTTTGGGGAAAAGCCAGAGTTTGCATGGTGCTGGATCTGGGGAATAAGGTAAATGAGGATGCATTGTAATTTTTTTTGAGGCTGCTTTTCTGTTGGATGGCACTCAGCAGCAGCTTTCACTTTTTTTTTTTTTTTTTTAAGAACCAGGGATTGAACTCAGGCCTTTCACTTGCCAGGGAAGTGCTTATTCCACTGAGCCATCTCCCTGGCACTTTTCACTGTATTTTTGATCACACTTTATAAAGACATTCACAAAAGAGGACTTCCAGACTGCTTCGGAAAGTATGATGGGAAGGCCGGCCAGATAGCTCAGCATACTAAAGCACCTGCTTAGGTACGCACAAGGACTGAGGTTTCATCGTGGGCATGCCATGCCTGCCCTGCCCTGGGGTGCGCTGAGACTAGGCGTGGTGATGCAAGCCTGTAATTCCAGAAGGGTAAAAACAGGAGGATCACTATGAGTCCTAACTGTGTAGTGAGACCCTGTAAACTGTAACAAATACAAAAAGAAAAAAGAAAAGAAAAGCAAATATGATGGGAGTAAGTGTGGATGTTGGAATAAGTGTGTCTTAAGTAACAGGAAGTATTTTTTGGGCGGGGGATTAATGGGAATGTGACTTTTACTATAATAAATTATAAAGTATTAGTTGGGCATGGGAGGCTGAGGCAGGGGGATTGTTGTAGGTTTGAGACCAGCCTGGGATACAAAGTGAGCTCAAGGCCAGTTTGAACTGCATAGGGAGACCCTGTCTCAAAAGCAAAAATAAAGTAGTAAAATACTCATTGTATATTTTGATTGTACCAAGTATGTAGAGAAGCCAATGAAATTTAATAGAAACAGAAAGATTCCTCATTTGAAATAAAAGAATTAAGCTATACTTTAAAAAATATGGTTAGACATCGAAAATTGACATTTAGGGCCCAAAAAGCTGAGAATCTTTACCATTTGGGTCTTTACAGCAAGTCTGACTATGTATGGTGGCACATGTCTATAATCCCAGCACTTGGGAGGCTGAAATAGTAGGATCACCTTGAGTTTGAGGCCTGCCTGAACAACACAGTAAGGCCCTGTCCCCTGCCCCCAGCAAAGTTTTTTTGTCTTTTTGAGATAGGATCTCACTTTGCAGTTTAGGCTGGTCTTGAGCTCATGTTGTAGCCCAGGCTGGTCTTGAACTTGCAAGGATTTTCCTGCTTCAGCCTCCTGAGTGTTGGTATTATAAGCATGTACCACACCAGGTTCCAACAGGATATATACTTAAGTATTGAAAGGAAACAATTTTAGTATTAGTAATCACAAGAAATTATTTTATGAGCGGAAAAATGAAAAGCATGGCTTGAGAGATTATTAGATATCCATTTGTGTTCTTATGAAAATCTAAGGTATCAAGAACATCAAGTAATTAATGTCTCTAAAACCAAGTTAACTTCCCTAAAATTTTCGTCTTTATTCGTATTCCTGATATGTGAAAATAACATTAAAAGCCAAAGAAAAAGTAAAATTCTGATAAACTATTCATGAATCTCTTGTAACATCTCTCCTAAATGAGATAAACCTCTACACACATAGCTGTTTCATAAAATTACTTACCCGTGTCCGATCTTCAATGTTGTATATCTTTAACTGCATGGGGATGTTGAAGCTATGCAAAAAATTGCCTCCAAATACTAATGTGTCTGTAGGAGTATATACAGCATGAATCCAGCCTGAAAGAAAAGTGAACAGAGGCAGAAACTGAAAATACACATTGTAGTATGGTTTTCTCAGAGTACCAGCACAAAGCTCCAAGATCACACTGACTCTGTTTCTCTGTAATTGGTCGTATCACATGTGTGTGTGCGTGCGCGCGCGCGTGTGTATGTATGTGTGTGTGTCAACCAGATATTGAACTCAGGACGTCTTGCACCACAGAAATATATCCCTGGCCCAAGTTACTTAATCTCTTAAAGCTTCAATTTCCCGTATATAAAAGCAGGATTAAATTATACTTTACCTGGTTGATGGTGAACATTAAGAAAAACACTTATTTTTGTTTTTGGAGACAAGATTTTGTTATGTTGCCCAGGCCACTTACTTGTTTGCTTGCTTGCTGTATTTTTTTTTTTGATACAGGGTCTCGCTATGCAGTTCCAACTTCTAGTGATCTTCCTGTTCCACCTTCCCTAGTGCTGGGATTATATGCATGTGCCACCATGGCACACCTGAGGTTTTGGGGCCAGCATGGTATGTGGTACTGCCTGGGTTTCTGGGGCCAACACAGCATGTAGTACTGGGGATCAAATGTGAGACCCTGCACTTGCCAGGCAGGCACTTAGGCCACTGAGCTCTTTTCTGAGCCTGTTGAAGCTGGTTTTTAAGTCATGTGTTCCAGTGATCCTTCCACCTCAACCTCCCTAAATAGCTGGGACTATATGTATGTGATGGACCATTATACATCTCTGTGTATGTGTCTTTCCATCTGTCTTGCTGTGCATCAAAGTCAGGGCCTTGCTCATACTAGGCAAATGTTCTACCACTGAGCTACATCCCCAGTCCATGGAACTTTTAATAAATAAGCCAGGTAATCACGAACTGTGGGAGGCTGATGCAAAATTGAAAGTTCAAACTCAGGCTGGGTAACTTTACTGACTTAGCAAGACTCCTGAAATAAATGTTTATAATCAGCACGGGGGGTTTTTGACATTTATTTCCAACCTGGGCCAGCTCACCCCTCCTTAGGCAACCTGGTGGTCCCCTGCTCTTGGGAGGTCACCATACTGATGCCGAACTTAGTGCGGACACCCGATTGGCATAGCACACTGCAGCCCAGAACTCCTGGACTCAAGCGATTCTCCCACCTCAGCCTCCTGAGTAGCTGGGACTACAGGCGCACACCACCATGCCTGGCGAAATAAATGTTTATGAAGTGCTGAGCATGTAGGTCAGTGTCCTGGAGTCAATCTCCAATATTTCAAAAAAGAAAAAGAAATATTTGACCAAAGTGATACCTAGCAGGTAAGTACTTAAGGATTCTCAAACAGCACTATCTATGACTTCAAAAATCTATGCTCTTTATAAGCACTTTTTTTTTTAAATTTTTTATTTTTATTTTTATTTTTTTATTTTTATTTATTTGAGAGAGAGAGAGAGAGAGAGAGAGAGAGAGAGAGAGAGAGAGAGGTGTGTGTGTGTGGCCAGCTCAGCCCACCAGGGGGCGGGGCTGGTTGGCATGTGGTGCTGGGGGATTGAACCGGGTCCCTGATGCTTTGCCAAGCTTGTTCTAAGTAGGTGCCTTAGACCACTGAGCCATCTCTCCAGCCCCTATAAGCACTTATTTTAAGAGTAATGATTTAATCAAGAATATTGCTGGGGCTGGGGAGATAGCTCAGTAATAAGCGCTTGCCTGGCAAACACAAGGGCTGGAGTTCAATCCCTGGTTCCGCAAAAAAAAAAAATAAATAAATAAAGAATACTGCTGACTTAGTAGCCCTCTGGCCTTCATCATTATTCCAGAAAACTAGGTAGTTCTTCAGTAGAAGTGGGACATCATTTGCAGTTCAGGTCATCTCAGAAGAGACTCTGAATTACTGAGACTAATGTAGGGCTCAACTGTGTGGGTCTTCTTAAAAGCCTTCAGTAGCAATTCATTCTACCTAACTACCTACCTATACTAGGAACCGAACTCAGGGCCTTGCACTTGCCAGGCAGGCACTGTGCTGCTGAGCTATAAACCCTGACCTCCAGTAGCATTTGTTACGCACCTTTAAGTTAAATCACTGTCTTTAGAAATTTTTTTCTTAATATACCTCTTAGCACCTACTTCATAATAACAGAAAAGGACACCACTATTTGCTGTGCACTTTAGTAGCATAACCAATCTTGGAGGTAATCCATCTGTTTTCTTTTAAGAAAACAAAGTGACTAACGTAAACAATCCACTTTCTTTCGCCTTGCTTACCTGAGGGAATGACGAAGGTATAGCCCTGCTTGAGCTCAATGCGTTGGCAATCCGACACCCGGTCACCCAGAAAGATGTCTCCCTGTTTCCCTGACAGCAGCCAATTCTCGTACAGCTCCAGGTTGTGGGCTGTAGGGGGGATGAGCCAGAAGACCTGTGAGTTAAAAAACTTCAGTTTGTTAACAGCCATTGACATGACCCAGTTGTTTCCCTCAACTGAAATAGATACAAAGTTAAAAGACTATCAATTAGAAGATAAACAATTCTCCCATCTTCTACAATTTGGGAATCTGAGAAACTGAGGACACAAGGAAGCATATACAAAGTTAAAAGACTATCAAGTAGAAGATAAACAATTCTCCCATCTTCTACAATTTGGGAATCTGAGAAACTCTGAGGACACAAGGAAGCAGATCTTTGTCGTTATTAACTTGATCAAACCAAAAAGCATCAGGACTTCCCTGGAATATGACTATAGAAACCAGAACCCAGTCAGGACTCAAGAAAGAAAAACAGCATTTGGCTTATTAACTAAAGTTCCTTAAAAACGTGTGGCTGTCTGGCCTTAGAGACCCGAGTAACAACTGTTTAGGTATAGTATCTTCAGGAGCCTAGCCGAGGGTTGCTTTGTTCCAAGGTAGTACGAAGACCAACAAGACAACACTTAAGATACCACTTATATGGATCTAAGGTAAATAAAACTATAGTTGTCATAGAGCAGTAACTTAGACATTTTTATAAAAGCAGTATCTCTTTTCATTCTAATTGTACTTTTGCTCATAAATGTATTTACTTCTAATAGGGAAAAAGGCTAGCTATAAACCTCTATCTTTCCATTCTCACACTCAGAAATACTCTAACAAGCTGAAACAGAATTCTTTAGGAGTGAAGATATCCTTTCAAAATCTATTTACATCCTCAGAACGTACCTAAACATTTCCTTTGGCCACATTTCTAGCCAATGCCTCCATATTTAGATTTTATGATTTGGATCTTAGTTTGCTGATTTCATTGTGAATCTATTAAAAATGTGTTTTTCCTTTTATTATATTATTACACTTTCAAGTACAGAAATTATGTTATCCTCCTAAAATCATCTTTTGGGTTCACTCGGGAAATTCAGAAAAAAGTGTTGATATTGCCTATTATAGTGCCAATCTTGGTGTAGTGATAATGGACTAAATACTTAAATATCCACTGAACACTAGACACAAAGGTCAGCTCAAATCTAGAATTCTCTCCAGACACAAATGGGTACAATTTTCTAATAGGCTTATTTCCAGAGCATATCAAGTAACTTCAGATTCCAATCCTTACCACAACTATGACCATACCTTTCCCCCTTGGTGGATGTGATACCAAACAGAGGTACCACCAAAGTCCACGTGAAAGTCAGTATAGCAGCCTCGGACACTCATTAAACAGTACCTGACAACCCCCCGAAAAGAAAAAAAGCAGCATTAGTATACTGATGGAAAAAAAGAGGACCTACTCACTAAAATGCCACATTTTCCCCTGTGTACTCCTTCTATCTAATCATTTTTTAAAAAATTTTATTTGTGTGTGTGTGTGTGTGTGTGTGTGTGTGTGTGTGGCCAGCTCAGCTCACCAGGGGGCGGGGCTGGCTGGCATGTGGTGCTGGGGGATTGAACCGTGGTCCCTGGGCTTTGCTAAGCTTGTTCTAAGTAGGTGCTTTAGACCACTGAGCCATCTCACCAGGCCTGTAATCATTTTTAGTAGGTGGAAGGGATGATAATTTCAAGTTAACACACTGCCAAGGGATACAGTTTTTCTTTAACTATGGGATCCTGCACTACATGCAGTGCTTCAATATACACTCTCCTTTTTTGGACTGGTAAAATGTACTATGTAAACAACAACAATAACTATTATTATTTAATAACTTAACACACAGCAAATCTCAAAGTGGAGGAACTATTCCCTGTTGTCACTTTGGTTTCCCAGAGTGCACAGAAAAAACAAAAAGTAAATCACTTACTTCTGCACTTTAGGGTACTGCATTTCCAAGATGGCATTTGTTGATTCAGTCTGACTTTCCTTCAAATGTCTCGGCCACATGTTGTCTACCCAGTCAATGAAATCCACCTTTAAAAAGGACGAAACATTTAAGTTTTAAGGGAAGGGTTAGGATTAAAGAGAAAGAACTCCTACGCCTGTAATCCCAGAGCTTGTGAGAGGGAGGTAGGATGATTGTTGCAAGTTCAAGGCCAGCATGGGCTACATACTAAGTTCAAGGATAGTCTGAACTATATAGCGAGGCCCTGTCTCAAAAATAAAAATAGAATCCTTTTAAATATGCACCAAATGATGTCATTATAAGTAAATTAAAAATACTTATGGGGTCATGAGTAAACATTCTAGACTTAAGTAGTAGATGAGAATAAAGACGCATAGTTCTATCAACCTGACTATAAAGACAGCACTCATCAAAATGGACTCGTTAAGTGACACATACGAGTGACCAACCAAGAATTCTCTTCGCCATCAATACTGGTCTAATTTGTTTTATTTGACTCATAAAAGGTACTGCTTCAAAGGTACCTGTAAACCCAATGAAAGATATACCATTGCTTGAAAAGCTAAGACACTAAAAGTTAAGAGAGGGAGGAGAGGGCAGGAGAAAGGAGGGAAGAGGGGAAAGAAAGGAAGAAGTAAGAAATGCACTATGTATTTGCAACCTGGTGTGGGGAATATACCATAGACATTAGCTGGTTAGGAATCAAAAGCTCCATCTGTCATATTTTTAAAACTCATGTGAGGCCCTAGAACTCATTCACAGAAAGCTAAGGTAATTAATTACCTTAAAGGGATGTTTAAGATAAAATTATGTCAAAATACTTAATGTTATCTAAATTTAGGAACCTGTTTTAAGTAATATTTGCTGAAAGAAATGAGGGATGAAAACAATATGAACTTATTTTAACACTTTCTAGAGAACTGTCTGCATTCAAGCTCCCAACCCTAGTCCTAAGTAGCTAAAACCTGACAGTCAAGCCACCATGGATTCTACACAGTGCTGATACTGCAAATATTTCACTTACAACTATTAAAAAAAAAATGTATCTGATAAGCTTTATAACAATTACATATCTGATCATCTATTTACCTTATAGTGTTAATCTAGACATACAAAATTATGCATGATGATAGGCAGATGTCCAGTGAAAATCAAGATGTTGCTGGTGGCCTACACAGACTACTTAATGATGTTCTAGAGAGGGAGCAAATTGATCACAGCCCCATGAATGAGAATGGAAAGAACCCACCAAATGGGGCAAACAATTAAACACAGGAGAATAAG